GCTCGTAGATAAATGCTCGGGCGAGTCACAAAACTTATTGTCTGGTAACATGCGGATATTCTTTGTTTGATTCCAAGATCAATTTAAAACCAGATCTGTGGAAAGGACATCTATATGTGATGTTCGTGGGAAGCTATTGGAAACTTTATGTAGCCATATTACAAGCATTTCTGACAGCATATTTTTGACTGTTGTGTATTCCAAAGATTAAAGCATAGCATGGATTAATAAACACATGTACAGTCTTAAATAGAGATTACATTGAGTTTTTTCATGTTAAAAATTTGAACATTGCGTAAAAACATTAATGTACATAAATGTAATAAGTTATAACCGATTAAAAAGTCAGCAACACTTTTGCGTACCTCCACTAGAACTGTGTCCTGCATTTTAATAAGGGACTCTATGAAGCATGATCGAAGACTCCATAGGATGACAGCATACTATTTGGATTTTAAGAGGTTCTTAAACTGCTCAATCATGCATGCGGCATGCGACTAATTTTATTGACTGTTCCTAATTTGAGTTTCATTTTAATTACAATAAAAACAGAATCTGATATCCGTCCACAGCTACGTTCGTAAACTAAGTGGTTTGGGTGCACGAATTTCATTATTTAGAATAGGTATTAGCCACTAGAAGTATCTAACTTTTTGTTGGAGAAACGTTAACATCAAGATTTGGAGGGGGGGTGCAAATCATTTATTGTAAAGTTTACACGTGTTGACCTATGTTGCAATGCAATATTAGAGAATGATCCCCATGGTAAAAATAAAAACAACATGCACCATGTCTTGTGATTCGGCTGTATAATATATCCCCACTACCCTTAACACCATTTGGCAGCTACGTGGCATCCGTGACAGTATTATATATATATGTTACTATTACACAGGCCAAGCAGAGGAACTACTACACCTAATGAATAACCACGGGTTATTCCAAACAGTCCAGGAACCAACTAAAATGGTAATATCTTGGACCCTTTCTTAGTTGATAACCCCAACATAATTGAGAAGACTACAGTAGTTCCGGGAATAAGTGATCAAGACATGTTTCTAGCTGACGTTAACCTGGCACCGAAACAAAACAGTGTACATTCGCACATGAGCCGTCCTCCGATGAACCAGCCATCAAGAGAGACCTAACGGACTATACAAGTAACTTTGACAAAAGAACTCAGGATATGTTAGTTACACAGAAGCGGTCAGACTTCAAAGACAAAATAAAACACATGCCTAATAACTAAAGGTAACATCAAGTAGATACAACTTGCCTTGGCTCAACCCAAACCTAAGGAAGTACTGTCGTAAAAAGCATCGCCTCTATAACAAAGCTAAGAAAACAGGCCAAGACGAAGACTGGAACAAATATAACAGAGTTAAAAAGGGAAAGAGTCAAACGATCCACAGAAACACAGCTTATATTAACAGTTTATGACACAGCTGGCGCATTGAATAGTAAACGGCAGGTAGACTAAGCAATACTCGATTTCACTAAAGCTTTTGACAACGTCCCCCATAGTAGGGTCATCTCAAAACTGGAGTATTATGAAGTCCAAGACCCTACTACGAAATGGTTAAAGGCTTTCCTGGCCAACAGACAGCAAACAGTAGTGGTTAAGGGAAAGGCGTCTGCTCCAGTTAAATTAGCGTCTGGAATCCCTCAAGGACCCGTCCTGAGACCTTTTCTCTTCGTCTTGTATATAAAAGGACCTACCAGATTAGCTTGACTCAAATGTGAGGTTATTTGCCGACGACTGTCTGTTGTATGTATAGTTGTCTACACGGACCGACTCACAACGTCTACAAAAAAACCTAAACACTTTGGAATAATGGCAGAGCAAATGGCTCATGCAGTTTAATCCCGAAAAATGCTACATTATGCACATAACAAACAAACAAACAAACAAACAAACACCACATGCAACTAGCTACCTGTTTTGCGGTCAGGCTTTAACCCTACCTAGGACCGGGGGGGGGGGGGCTAAAAGTGCCCGCGGCAACTTTGATGTCACCTAGCATCTGAACGGTTGGCCGTAGAACGACCAAACTTGGTGACTTTTCCTAAAATATTGTTGGCAACAATTCTCTATTATTGGAATAAGATAATAATTTTTTGTGTTGCCATGGCAACGGGTTTCTGACAAGCATTTTTTGCTAAATTTAGTACTTTTTGCTTCAACAATAGAATTTTATGGGTTTTATGTCAAGTTACTCATGGTTTCTAATATTAATAACATCCTATATAATTTTATGCAAATTTTATCATTAAATATGCATAATTTATGCTAATTTGATGACGTCATTGGCCAAAATCCAAGATGGCGGACCATATCATTAGAACAGGTATATACGGGTTATTTTCATTAAAATTTCATCAATACTTCCATTTCTTTTTACAAAAAGGTTTGAATGAAGGTGTTTAGTATGTTTACAATGTATTTTAGGCTTTATCATGAAAAAAAAACTATTTTTGAAAATTCAAGATTGATGATCCAAGATGGCGGATATCTTAAATATGCATGACGTCATTTTATGACGTCACCGGTGTTGCTATGGGCAACATAAGACTTAGTACACACTAATATTCTGTCATAAACACTTTTGGTACAGTTATGTTGTATACCAGGGAGGTTTTCAGGGAAAAACCTATTTAGACGGTTTTGGCCAATAAAATCACATTAATGACGTCATAATGACGTCATATTACGTCATAACGACATAAAAATTGTAGATATGATAAATTGTCACTAGTACACCATTCTCTGAAAATTTGGTGGTCATACGACATACCGTTCGCGAGTTCTTAGGGGGGGGTCAAAAGAGCCCACCCCCCGGTCCCCCCATGTCAAAAAAAGCCCGGTCTAGGTAGGGTTAACAACCACAAAAACCCATCCGCATTTGGGTTTCACATTGACAAGTGGTCTGAAGTGGGGAGCACATGTTTACTTTGTCATATTACAACTAAGGCTAAACAGACATTGGGAGTGATCAAACGTAATCTGTGGTCATTCCCAACTATAGTAAAATCACTTGCATACACGTCACTTGTAAAACCAAACCTAGAATATGCCGCGACATTATGGTATCCATTTACAAAGAAAGACAAAGATAAACTGTAAGGGTACAGAATCAAACTGCAAGATTCTGTATGAACAACTATGAAAGAGGTGTTAGTGTCACGGAAATAAAAGTAACCTACGCTAGGTGTCACTGGAAGACAGAAGAAAAATATCCAGACCATGCATGATGTACAAAATGACTAATAAAGTAATGGACGTCGTAATTGCTAAGTACCTAATACCAGCCCGGAAGAGAACAAGAAATAGCCATACCTTCAAGTACCAGAGTTATCAACCAAGGATTGAGGTGTTCAGGACTTCATTCTTTCCTACAACTATCGCAGAGTGGAACTCGCTGTCACCAAGTACCGTAGGGGAATTTTCATTAGATATCTTTAAAAATGTCTACTATAGTAAATGTTCATAGGTTAGGTGTATCGAGTCGATCGGTGTAATTTAGCCAGCTGCCGCCGCGCCGCGTGCCTGAGAAACTGGTGCGTTACGCCGAAAGGTGGTTATAAAGGCTATACAGATACAGATGTTCCAAAACGATTAAAGTATTTATTGGGTTGGATTCAAGTGCACTAAAATATTTCAATTGGGCACTTTTTGTACATCCTTAGTAAGGTACGTACATTTGTAACATCAAGCCTCTAGTAAGGTAACATCAAGCCTATAAAACTTCCCTTGGCTCAACAGAAACCCAAGGAGGCAGTGTCGTAAGAAGCAGCGCCTCTATAACAAAGCTAAGAAAACAGGCCAAGACGAAGACTGGAACAAATATAACAGAGTTAAACATGAAGGGAAAGAGCCAAACGATCCACAGAAAAACAGCTTATACTATACTAACGGTCCATGACATAGCTGGAGCACTGAACAGTAAACGGCAGAAAGACTCAGCAATACTCGATTTCACTAAAGCTTTTGACAAAGTCCTTCATGGCAGGGTCATCTCAAAACTGGAGTATTATCGAATGCAAGGGCCTACACTAAAATAGTTAAAGGCTTTCCGCTGTCACCAAGTACAGTAGGAGCATTGCCATTAGATAGCTTTATACAATGTCTAGAGTTAGATGTTCATAGGTTAGGTGTATCAAGTCAATTGGTGTAATGTAGCCAGCTGCCGCCGCGCCGCGTGTCTACGAAGCTGGTGTGTTACGCCGAAAGGCGGTTATATAGGCTATACAGATACTGATGTTACATAACAATTAGAGCATTTACTGGGTTGGATTTAAGTGCACTAAAATATTCCAATTGGGCGCTTTTGCGTGCCTCTGCTAGCATTCTGTCATGTATTTTATCATTTAGGACAATGCTTATTGAAGCTGGTCTGGTCAAAAAAACAACAACAACCAGTCACTGAAACAAGTGAACGTGCCCGATTTTGTATCCAAACTTGTTCATTTCCATGAGGAAAAGTGCCGAAATCAAGTGCTCCTATATGGTGTTGAAGTTTTACATTAATTGATGACAGAATCTTAGATGATAAAAGGCTGCTCCCTTAATATGTTACATACAACAAAATGTCTTGTGCTATTTTGCGATGGTACTTTCTTTTCTATCTTATCAATTTCACACGAAAAAAAATTCTTGATCCAAATGCCTCTAATATTTGCTCCGTCAGATAGAGTTAATGGAATTTTCACAGATTCGTATCAACTTATATCGTAGGGAATGTATGAATATTATGTAACATAGTTTAATATTTCATGTATATGGTATGCGAGTGATCTTATTGACTTTTCACAAAATGAGTTTTTTTCTTAATTACCGTACCTTTAATCAACTGTGTTGGCTGCTGACTGGACACCATATGCAATACTTAATTTGCTGGTTTACAAGGAAATCCGACTGCTCACGCCATAGCTTTCACAACAATACTGGTCAGATGTAGTTTATATTAGTGCTGAGTAGCTTTGAGAAGTTCTACACCAGAATGGGAAATCTAACGTTGCCATCCGCCAAAACAACCCTGGTGTTGATGTGGAGTCTGTGCCAGTTTCTGCCAGGTGTATTTACACTAACAGGTAAGCAAGAAGTCAACCTTCACCATTTGTAGGAAGCATTTTTTTTAAAGCAAAACATTCTTAAAACACTGTTAACGTTCATTAGACAGATTTCGATAATTTTAAACAATAATAATATGTCGCTCTAATGCTGTTTTAGAAATTCTTATCAATAGCGTTGTCCATAAGATAAGTGCAATTCGGTCTATAGCATAAAGAAAACCAAATTCTTGGCTGATTTTAGGGTTTTGCTGCCATGTTTTTTGCTGCTCTGAAATTGCATTGGACGCCTTAAGACTATCGCTCTTATTTTCTTTTGAGCATTCATGTAATGGACCACTGGAAGGGTCTGCCTAAATACCACAACCGACCACAGCCGACCGCTTCCTGGGTTAATATGCAGCGTACCTTTAGTAAAAAATTGGGATGGCATGCTTTTTAACAAATATCCCATGTCAATGTGACTAGCATGTTTTTAGACAAAAAGGAAATATGGTGCTAAAAAATTGGGATAAATAACCACAGCTCCCTTTTTAACGCTCTGGATACATTGTCTATGCTTGAATGAATAAAAAAAACTGTCAAAAAGTCAAATCAAACATCAGCAGTTAATAGAGTTACCATGAGTTACCAGTTCATAGAGAGAAACCATGTGTATGGATGGGTTAGAGCATATATCTAGTGGAGCTTGATATACTATGATATCCGAGAGAGCACTCTGGAAACATTTATGACAACTCTTCTATTGAAATGAGCATACAAATAAATCAGCCATGTAACTTAAGCTTAGCATCCTACAATTTCTTAGAAAAGTTTAACAGATTTCTTTAATACTTCGTAAGAGGTGCTAATAAACTGAAGATTAACGTAGATCAGGAATTCAATTGTAGGATTGATGGATAAATTCAATAATTATTCTGCGTTCAATAATGGACCTTTCAAAATTTGGCAAATGTAGCTTTGCAAGACAGGGACATTAACCCTACCTAGACCGGGCTTTTTTTGACATGGGGGACCGG